ACATACGAATCAAATTGTCTTTATTGGAGGGATGCGCACCCATGGTCATTTGCACTCGCCCAACCCACGTGTGACGCCTCCATTCGGGGTCGTCTGCTCACTTGCACGCAGCACATTTTGAAAAGTTACTTTTTAAAGTGAATAAATGTGCATGAAAGCTGGCCATCTTTTCAAATATGAAGTTTTTCTCAAGTGGAAAGACAAAAATCCCCCGTGAAAAAGTACAGCACTCATTTGAAGAACATTTGATGGGCGAGTCCATGACATACCAGCGCTTTTGCGTCACGCTCGGCCGCCAGCCTCTCCAGGTAGCAGCGCCCGTTGGCGCCGAGGACGTCGGTGAGGGCCAAACACGGCAGCCGCAGAGCGTACGCAAGAGCCTTCTCGTCGGCGGCCTCCACGGCTTCGTCCACTTGCTCCACCGCCCATCTCACTGCAGACGCAGTCGCCAACATCAGCACCGGCCATGCTTCCACTTCACAGTGACAACACTCTCACCGTTGACCACGTTGATGTTGTTCTGGATTTCTCGGCGAGTCAGAAACTCCTCGTACAGATCTTTTTCTGCCGAGGGTCCACCCTGGAAGACACAATGACCGTGTTACTTTAGGCCATGTTCTCAAACGCTAACGCTAGACCTTAAAGTAGGTCTTAAAGTCAAATGTATTGAGCTTCTCCCAGTATGCCTCAAACTGGCTGATAAAGACGGACAAAGTGGAGCGTCTTTCTCGAGAACCGTTCGACGGGTGTGAGAGGGAAAACGGGTAGTGAACCGCGAACCTCCGCCCGCGTCTGCTAGGTGGCGCCCCTGAGCCACACTCACCCGGCTGGCCGCCTGCTGCTCTTTTCTTTGTTTGGCCTGATACAGCTTCGCCTGGTAGACGCTCATCAGCGCCTCCTGCAGGTCAGTGAGTTGCGCGTTGGGGTTTCTGAGAGCCTCAGCCGTCGCCCCGACATCACGACTCTCCACGGCCTCATTGATGGCGATCACCGCCGCGTGGACTGAAGAGAGGACAAGAGGGCGTTTGGCAACAATGGCTGACAGGCGGAGAAGAAAACGTCATCGGGTTAGCATATTGTCGTACCTGCCGCCTCGTCCACTGACAACTCATTGGACAGAATTCCTCCAATTTTGTGGAAGGCAGGAAGCTGCAGGCCGTATTTGTCCAACTCCAGCCTCATGTTGTTGATCTCCTCCACTGTAGACCCGCACGCCCACACACCATCATTTCATTTTAAACTGAAGCCGCTGGATTGGATGTGATCAAATTCTGACATCACTGCTTGTCAATATGAGCAATAAGGCGGAGCTTACCTGTAAACTTGACCTTCCCACAAAGGTCAGTAATCTGCGGAGCGAGGCCACGCCTGTACAGGTACAAGCTACAGGCACACAAAAAAAAAACAAAAATCATTTTCAGCTGTGTCTACTTGTCCTCGTCATAGAAAAGTGCAATGTACATTCCAATGAAATGGAAAAAAAATTTAAATCACAATTTTGATGAATTGCCTACATAGAAACAATAACTCAGAGGATAGACAGACAGACCAGATGGGGAGGTAGCGAGACGGTTAATAAAACAGCTCCAAGACACGCATGGAAGTAAGGAGAGAGACAGGGAAGCAAACAGGGAAGGCGAAAGAGACAAAGAGACAGACAGACAGACAGACAGACAGAAAGACAGAAAGACAGACAGACAGACAGACAGACAGACAGACAGACAGACAGACAGACAGACAGACAGACAGACAGACAGACAGACAGACAGAGGTTACCTGAGTGCATGGATACAATAAACAGCTCTAGGCATGTTCTTTTTGTCGTAAATGTCTGTGGTCTCCGGATGGAAGATCTGAATCAACAACAACAGCGGTACAAAAACAAGCATGTGGGTGGGGTGAGGGTTGATTTTTCAACTGTAAAAACAATGGCCTCGGCGGTCACTAAGCCTGTCCCGATTTGATCACGTGATGGGAAATTGGGGTCGGTCAGTATATCGACTCGTCTGAAAAAGATCAGATTACATTTTTTTTTTCAAATTTTGTAAAGCATAAACCTTTTAGTTCTTGAGTTAAACCACACCCACAAATGGTATCATCTGGGGATACCTTTATTTATTTAAAAAAAAAAAAAGTCATTGAGAAAATTCATGTGGTCTTTTGTTCAAGAGAGCAAGAAAGCGACACTGGCTCTTCCCCATATTTCGGTACTCAAGTAGTGACTGACTTGTTGACCGCAAAAGAATATGAATTCTTGAGTAGCCCCATGCCAGGCCAGGAAGTGGCGCAGTGGTGGCGGGCAACATTTTGCCAACGTGGCAGCAGTTTGTTGTGCTACGTATGCAGGGCCATGCTCCACTCAGCACTTGGTTACTCACCGATGGCAGCCCAAGCGACATCATGGCGTTCCTCCAGTGGTTGATGTTATCAGTGTGACGAAATTCAACACCCACAGCCTGAAAAAGGAAACATTTGAGGTCAACACGCAACATTTGGAAGCGAGTAAACCTCTACATTTACTGAAGACATTTGGGGGATAAATTGCACTAGTCTGAATTAATCCAAAAAACTAAACAAAAAAATTTACTTTGAGCTACAGTCCAGTCGAATCAAATTATTCTGAAGTAACTGTGCTGTTACTTGAGTACAATTTGCAGCGACTGTGATTGTTGAGGATAGACACATTGTGGATGAGGTTGGTTGTCATGGCTGCAACGGACAGGAACGAACGAACCACCTTGTAGCGCAGCTGCTCCCAGTCGTAAATCTTCTTCCGAGAAACGACGGAAGGTGCAAAGCGATGGCCCAGTTTGGCGAGAATGACGCCATTCCTCAACGCTTCCTCCAGCTCGGTGGGAGCGGGAAGCTCCTCCCCCAGGCATGCCTCCATCCACCTGCGGGGACGGATGCCATTGTGAGCAAATGATGCCTGCTGAGCTTTTCGCCAAAGGCCGCGGCAATGACTTGTTACTGTACGCAACGCATGTGAGTGGTGGCATACTGTATTCCACGGGTCACCAACCCGGAGTCCGTGGCGACCAGGTTGCCTGCAGGCAAAAGATGAGTGCCCTGGGGGCCTATTCTCACCACTGAAGGCACATTTTGATTTCCTCGAAATGGTGTAGAAATGACTGTTTTCAAAAATGTATCCACTTGCTTAGATTGATAGAATTGGTGTTGCATATTGATATTTTGCATTTTGATTATAATTTGTTCCCAAAAATGTCCAAATGTTGATAATTACTGAGATAAATCTTTCTATATATCAAATGACTATCATTCATTATTATCAATTACAGTAGTTTGAGTTAAATTTGTCAGTTCAGACCTGTGTATGAAACTGGTAGCCCTTCACATGAATCAGTGGCATAGAAGTTGCTAACCCTACCCTGGCGTATTGCACATATAAGGTATAAGACAGGCTGTCTATGAAGAATACGTGCACAAATGAGCCAGTGACCTTTTTGCCTCCTCCAGTCGACACAAGTAGTGATAGGCCACATTTTGGAGCCTCTGCTCATCCATCTCCTCGGCTGTCAGACGGCCATCTGCTCATCGGACAAAACAAGCAACTTGGCAAACTTTCAGAAGGCAGGTAGGCAGGCAGGCACACCCCCAAATACAACCAAAAAAAAAAAAAACACAAACACGAGCACGAACACAAAGAGGCACACACACATACCTACATACATTCTGGATACGGTCGTAAGGACAAAGTAAATTGATGAAATAATGGCATTTCCGAAGCAGACGAGGACGCTAGTAACTCACGGTGAATCTGAGTGCTGGACTCCGCCATGTTTGACGTCGTCGCTCCCACACAAGCGGAATCAAGTCAAACTCTGCCTTCCCCAAAGGCGGAATCGAGTGAAAGTTTTCAAAGAAATCAAAGGTTGAAACACGACCGTAACAAAACTGACTGATGAGATGACAGCAGCGACTCGACAGCCAACAGCAACAAGGAGCCTCCTTCCGCTTTAGGTTTGAAAGCTCGCGCCTGTCTCTAATTGGTCGACAGATAGAAAACGTTTCCTATTGGCTGACCGCAGCACGGGTGAATGATGCGTCACATTTATGACGCCTTCAAAACTACTGTACATGTATTGGAAAAATGTTCTTTCAGTTTGTGTCGCGCTCACACGCACGCGCGCACACACACGCTCACACACACACTAACACACACAAAGGTTGTAACGAATTATGGAACCTTCATTTCATGTTCTTTCCTCCAAATAATTTAGACGTTTGACTATTAAATGCTACATTTGTCGCATTTACCCTACATTTACATTCAAACCTATTTCCAAGTACGTTCGAACGTATTTGGAGCACGTCTGAATGCATTTAAACTTATTTTCCAGTCAAAATATTTTTACTCCACATTGGTGGCTACACACTTCCATACAATTCTGAGGGTCTGCCATGTTTTAGAAGAAGCTTACACATTGTTCTGACATGTGGTGAGCTCCTTACAAAAAGATTGAATGCTGTTATCTGCTGGCTGGACCAAATGGTTTTTTTTTTGGACTTTCTTGGCTTAATTTAATGATCAAACCACATCTGACCAAGTCTTTTCTCCGCCCATTCTGTAGTTGATGGCAATTGCCGCTCCCTGTTAGGATTTCCACTGACGGCATTCCACATCAACAGCGCTCAATGAATTAAAAAATGATTTGGTCACCGATTGCTAGGGATGGGATTCAAAAGCCGGTTCTTGTGTGTGTCACGTGTTTGTGCATTAGTGTATATTTGTGTGTGTGTGTGTGTGTGTGTGTGTGTGTGTGTGTGTGTGTTTGCATCTACATGTGTGGGCTTTGTATCTCTCCATTAACCTGTCAGACAGTCAATCTTCGAGCTGGTTTGCCAGGCAGCAAAGAGGTGGAGCTTGATAAAAGGCAGGTCATAAAGTTGAGCTGCTCTCTGGCTGTCTCTCTCTCTCTCTCTCTCTCTCTCTCTCTCTCTCTCTCTCTCTCTCTCTCTCTCTCTCTCTCTCTCTCTCTCTCTCTCTCTGTCATCTTTCGACCTCGTCGGTGCAGCAGCACTCACTCCAAGAATGCCTGGACAGCGGTCACCACCGGTATGGTCCCCCGCCAACGTGACCCAATGGGAGGCCCCCACGTTCGGGGCAGCAGCTCGCTTCCGTGTAGGCGCCACAGCTCTCCTGTTTGTCGTGGCCGCCACTGGCAACCTAGCGCTGATGGCCAGTGTGTGCGGCGTGCGCAGCCGCCGTCATTCGGCCTCTCGTCTGCGACCGCTCATGGTCAGCCTGGCATCGGCTGACCTGATGATGACTTTTGTGGTGATGCCTCTGGATGTAGTGTGGAATGCCACGGTGCAGTGGTACGGGGGTGATGCCTTGTGTAAGCTGCTCAGCTTCCTGAAACTGTTGGCCATGTACGCTTCGGCCTCGGCGTTGGTGGTCATCGGCCTGGACCGCCATCGTGCCATTGTGCGGCCGCTGCGTGCTCTAAGTGCTCGTTGGAGAAATAGACGCATGTTGGCGCTGGCCTGGAGCCTCAGTCTGCTGCTTGCTGCGCCACAGGTGTGTACTTTGGCGCTACAACTGAGACCAGTAGCGTGACCCTCATGAAGTAACAATGTAGTGGTTCAACTAGTGGACTTGGGCGGACGAGTGGGGACGAGGGCATTGCTACGTTAGTGGGATAGTTCAAGTTGGCTACATTTTTAAGAGCAGTTAACCATAAATTCTTGGGAACACCCAGCATTGCCATTGAAATGTAGAATAAACTTTGTAACACTTGGAACACTTGGAACATTCTATATCGGAGTATTTGCGATTAGCAGATGCTGCAGTGATAATCCCGGGTAGAATGTTCTGGAAATTTAATGAAGACCACCTGCTGCTAGCTTGGGCTAACAACACCCTTTGTTTCCATGCGGAATGCTAGCAATGCTACGAGGCTTCCTGCAGAAAACTAACAACACATTAGAACATGGGGAGCCAGAGTCCGGTCCTTGAGAGCCCCTATCCTGCCGGTGTTATATTTTCATGATCTCGTTTTCATGTCATGCTCTCAACATGTCATGGTGTCATGATATCATTTTTTTCAACATATGTTATTTTAAGATGTCATGATGTCAAGTTATCATGACATAAGACAATCCCGGTGTCAGACACTGATGCGATGCTCCCACTTGCAGCTGTTTGTGTTTGGCGCGGTGGAGGCGGGCGAGGTGGGCGATGACTTCACTCAGTGTGCAACGCACGCCACTTTCAGCGTCCGTTGGCAGGAAACTCTCTACAACATGTTCCACTTCAGCACCTTGTACGCGATCCCCCTGCTGGTGATGAGTTGCTGCTATGGCCACATCATGCTTCATATCAACAACACGCACATGAGGGACAAAGGTAACCCAAGCAAAACGTCAAGTAACAAGATGCTTGCCACTCGTGAAACGCACTCGCCGTCCAGTTTCACTTTGCTGTTTCCAAAAAGTTGATTGATTTGCTCCAAATTATGTATCGTCGTCTTCAGCGCTGATTGCATGCAACATATCGTGAAAGGCAGAACAAGTGACATGGCAGTAAGTTGTCGTTCAAGGACCAGGAAGGACAGCTTTCAAATGTGTCGCCTTTCTGTATGTCCCCAGGTAAACTGCGTCGCAGCAGCAGCGACGGGATCTCCAAGGCCAGGATGAACACGCTGAAGATGACCGTGGTCATCGTGCTGTCCTTTGTGGTGTGCTGGACGCCATACTACCTGCTGGGGGTGTGGTACTGGTTCCAGCCCGAAGTGGTCGACTTCACGCCCGAATACATCCACCACAGTCTCTTCCTCTTCGGGAACCTCAACACCTGCTGTGACCCGCTCATCTACGGCTTCTACACACCCTCCTTCAGGGCTGACCTGGCTGCCTGCTGCCGCGCTGACCGGCGGGAACCGGCTGCCGCCGACTTCACGCTCCCCGTCCCCCACGCCCAGAATGAAGGGGAAGGACAAAGAAGGCTGCCGAGTTCTCATATCCACAAGGGCGGGGAGGGAACTCATCCTGGCGCTCCACCGACAACTTATGGAGAACGCCAAGCGTGACCACGTATATTAAGAAGCCTGAAGATCACAAGATGGACAACAGGAAGAGGCCTGGGGTTTTCCTTCCTGCAAGTGTCCTCTAGCTGCCACCATGATAAACCATCTGTAATGTGTTTTTTTTCATGTGCAAAATGGCAATCTATAATGTTCTACTGATAAAAACAACAGTTTGTGCATCATGATTAAGTATTGCCACTGCAATACTGTCATGCAAACATAAACGAAGAAGACTTTTGCAACTCCTAAAATTGACTCAGTAACTACAGTAGTTGTATTTTGCAGACGATAAAGAATATATGTCAGGTAGTGTTGTTACATTGTGTGTCTGCATTGCTGCTGCGCCATTTGTGTTGCTTAAAGCGTCAGAAGTTTGGGTCAAAATGTTTCATTTGGTCATCGACAAAGTCACAAAAGTTTTGGTTCTGTTTTTGAGGACAAACAGGAAGTTCGGACAACTTTCAGCTTCCAGGTCACTCGCTACAAAATCCCACATACTAACTACAACGTTTGGAAAATATGATGACAAAATCCATTACCAGCATTTTCAGAGGGGGAGAATCCAGGTCCAAAAGTAAAAACCCTGCCACAGTTTAGCTTTGGCTACAGGTGCTTCTACTTCACCAGCAGGTAAGTGGGCTCGTTTACCCACCGGTTGACCCTCTTCAGGATAAACGGTGTTGGAAATGGATGGATGGATGGAAGTTGACATTTGTTTCGTGACGCCATTGCAGCAAGTACTACCGCAGGCCGCCAGGCGGCGTCGACCTGACGTCTGATTGGTTGAACGACCAACACAAGCGGAAGCGCCACAAAGAGAAAATGGTGGCCGGCGCGAAATGATTGCACTGCTCAGCCGACTGACCACTGCCAGCCCAAGTAAGACTTTAGGTGAAAAGCAGAAAGCTTTGGGAGGATGAGTTCAGCTTCGACCATGACGACGACTGATGTTAAGCATGCTGGCCGGCTGGGTGACGTTATTACCATATAATTACAAAAGGGGCGCTTCCTCCAAGGCTTTATACGCCCCCCGTGTCCGTTTTGGAAGAGAACTCAAACTTATACAATACAATACAGCGTATATTTATTTATATAGTACGTTCACAACAGCCGTAACTGTAACAAAGCGCTTTAGAGACCACGTAACATAATAATAATAATACCGATTTTTGCCGATTGTCTCTATTTACAAAACAACGTAACGGTTCTATTATCCACTACATCTTGCTTGCTTCATTTCCAGAACAACGAATTTATGTATGGCTTGGTACCGATTTCAATATTTCCGGGAGCATTTGTTGCACTCACTTCGCCGTTTTCACTCCTAAAAATGGGGAATTAAAGTGTCTTTTTAGTGGACTTTTTTTGTTGACGTCCTTACGTATTTTAAACAAAATCTAATAGTGGTTAATTTTTTTAAATGATCTTTTCGATTTGATCAAATGTTTATTTATTTTATTAAATTATCTATATGCAAAAACGCTAAAGAATTATTTCATTGGAATTTTTCTCTTATGCCTCATCTACAAATGATACAACCTATTTATTCCTTTTAAAAAGAAATCAGCACAAAGGTTTCCCCAGTTCTTATTTGGATGATAACAGTGCCTTGAAAAAGCGTTTTCACCTTTTGAACTTCTTCATATTTTGCCATCTTCACACAGGAGGAGTACTTTATCACGGCACCTCTGAAGAAAGGGCTACTGCCAGTTGTTACTATGAGAAGTCACATGAAAACATAAGCTTTGACTTTTTTCTGTTGCCATGGTGACTGCCTCCTTGCAAACAAAGTCACCCTTTTTCTGTTGTTGATGCACAGACAGATCGTAGGTGAGATGTCGGGGCGCGGCCGTGGCCGGCGCGGACCAGACGGCACGATTGGCAACAGAGGCGAACCGCTCTTGTCGTCCGTCCAGCAGCCCAGCCCCCTGTTTCCGGTGAGCGATCGTCACCGGAAATTGCCCAACGTTCCTTTTCACGGTTGACCTTTCTCCTGTGCGGCACAGGTGATGGAACACAAGCCCCTCCCCCTGACGGGTGGCGAAGAGGCCGAGTACCTTTTGGCACTCAAGCAGGAGTTCAGAGGCGCCATGATGACGCGACCGGGTTTCATCCAGCCGCACGCGAGTCACAGGTCACACGCAGGTCAGCGACCTTGCACTTTTATGTCATATATCCAGATCCGTTTTTTGATTTTGATTTAATATTCAGATGTGGAAAGATATTCGGACAAATATCACAACTCCAACGAGCAGATGGATGCACTGACCGACTGGATCACAGGTACAGTACACCCACCCACCATTTAAGGAGTTCAACTTGAGACACAGGTTTCAACCACTAAAGTCAAACTCAAGGCCTGCAGGCACGAAAGCTCAAAATGTCCGATTGTCTTCAAGTAAAGCCTGAAGAAAGCATTGACCATAAATTTCCCGCAACACATGGTGACGATCTTACATGTCATCCCGTCACTAGGTGGCAGTGTGCATATCCTCATCAATGTGATTTTCCCAACAAGTGGAATTGAGAAACACATATAATGATCCTGGGCGGCCCAGTCGTTAGTGCATCGACCTCACAGTGCAGAGGTACTCCCTGTGTGGAGTTTGCATGTTTTCCCCGGGCCTGCGTGGGTTTTCTCCGGGTACTCCGGTTTCCTCCCACATTCCAAAAACATGCGTGGCAGGCTGATCGAACACTCTAAAATTGTCCCCATGTGTGAGTGTGGATGGTTGTTTGTCTTGTTTGTCTCTGTGTGCCCTGCAATTGGCTGGCAACCGATTCAGGGTTACCCCAGACGGCTGGGATAGGCTCCAGCACCCCCCGCGACCTTTGTGAGGATAATCGTATCGGAAATTGAATGAATATAATGATCCCAAATTGTCCAAGAAGAATAATTTGAAAACTTGAGTTGCATTTGCTCGGTGCTGCACCTGTTTCTCTGATTTGTCTCAACACTTAGGATTTGTAATGTTGTTTTTTTTCCTTGTCCAGACTGGAAGAGATTCCCAAAAGAAATAAGACTATGTGTCAGAAGATCCCTAAAAAAAGGTCGGTGCGTACAAACAACACTCTTGCTTTCATATAAGTGTATGCAAATGGGTGGACTTGTTCAAACCCAAAACGTTGATGTCAGGTGCGACCAAAGTGGTTTTGGGGTCAAAGAGAGGCCAGGCTGATGAGCAGAAGGAAAGCGTGGAAGACAAAAAAGAAGTGCTCCTCAAACTGGAGGTGAGGTCAACACAGATTACGAAATATGCCAACCTCAATCCCACCCCAACACGTCGCTACACTCAATTCCACCAATAACATCAGTCGCCACCTTCACTTGCACCTTCAACGAAACATCCGCTGCAATGTGGTTGTAACGCAGACGCTGGCCAACGAGGAGCAGCGGAGCTCAGAGGACGAGGATGAGGAAGAGAAGAAGAAGGAGGGCGATCAGGAGGTGGACGATGAGTACGACGAGGAAGAGCTGGAAGAAGTGAGTGCGCGCCCCATGCGCATGCTTCAAGTAAGAATGGCTTTTATTTTGAAAGGTGACCATGTGTTTGTGACAGGAGACCGATTACATCATGTCCTACTTTGACAACGGCGAAGACTTTGGCGCTGAAAGCGACGACAACATGGACGAAGCCGTTTACTGAAACCTTTGGGCTGTTGCCGTGGTGACGCTGATGTGACAACTCTGATTTTAAAGTTTTTATTCATTTTTTTGTATCCCTTTTCATGTTAAATGTTCACTTTTTACTCAAATGGCTTAAATACAAAGTGTCATATACTAAATGATTTCTTTTTTACTTTGTGCACAAAATACCGTTAGGTTGACTTCGGAGTGCTCCAACTTGAGAGTTTCGACTCCGAGCTGTTAATTGGCCCATTTTGGTGCCTTGTGTTGGAAGCCAAACCCTGCCAGATGAGTGCCCTTTGGGTACACCTCCGCCTGAGCGAGGTGAAAAAAAAAAATGGAGCAGTGACGGTTCTGTGATTCCCGCGCGTGTGGGCAAGGAGAGCCACACTCGCTGCTCATTCACCGGCTGGCAATGAATGAGTGGATGGATCAAATCATTTCAAAACTCCATTTGGGGTTGACTTGGTTCATCTTTGTCACTATAACGCAACAGGGATATCAATGTATTGAAGTTAGGCGAGTGGCTACAGAAGATGGCCGCCGGTGGCTTCACTTCTCACTACAGCAAATAAGCGGCATTCTGAGTCCATTCCTCGTAATTTCATCTGTGCTGTATGTTGCACATAGAGCATATTTGACAATAAAACTTGATATAGAAGCCACCACGTCGCTTGTGTTCCATATCAACTTGGCTCGTGTAAGTTGCGTGTGAGATTGTGTTCAGGGAAAAGTAATTAAGGTGAAGTTGTCACCTTTAATTTTGCATATAGTAAAGGATGATACCACTGAGCAAATGAAGAGGGGGGAAGGGAGGGGGCTTGCGTCATCAATGAGGGTTCATCTTGCTGAACTTTTCGTGCAGTGCGTGCGCACTGATGGTGGGTGGTCCGGCATCCAGGGGGCAGCCCTCCACCAGGCTGTTGGCCGGCGTTGGCGGCACCCGGCCATGCTCGTCTTCGGCCTCGTCGTCCTTGTCCTCTCCGTCACGCGCCCTCAGAAAGTCTTTGAGCAGCGGCAGAAGCTTCTTTCGCGACGCCAACGCGTTTCCTGAAGGGCGGACGGACCAAAGTCAACCACAGTGGCAGTGAACCTTTCCTCGTGGCTTTATGTTGGGAATTCCTAGATGAGGCCTCCAGGGGAGTGCTGTGCAGCCTCATGACAGAGAAAGTACCCCCAGAGGAATTGCACACTAAACTTGTCTTAGAGTATTTAATAAAAAAAATAGGAACAAAACTACGGTTGAGTATAAACAGTAGGGCTGGGTCATCTTTTGGACCAAACTTACCCTGGTGATATGCCGCCACGTGAGCATGGGGGCTGCTGATTGGACGCAGGTCAAGGGGGGGGTCGCCGGCCCGCTCCAGGAAGTGGCTCACCTGTCATGGGCAGGTGGGGGAGGGGTCGTGAGAGTGGAACGCTCGCCACTGTGAAGACGCTATCTGTGGCACCTAAGCGCCGTGACTCAATTGGAAACATACATTCAAGACTTTATCAGCTTCCCGCACACAATGACAGATTGATAATGTTGATTATATGTCCTTACTTGAGTAGTACATTTTGGGACGACCTATTGTTTGGACTCAACGACATTTCTACTAAGGCTGCCAAGTGCTCATTACCTTTAAAAGTGTGTGTGCGTGTGTGTGTGTGTTTGGGTGCTGCTGCTGTTTGGGCAAACAAACTAATGAGAAGGGGCGCTCTCCCGTCAATCCGTCAACGGATCCTTTCTACTGGAGCAAGAAAATGAAAGTCGTATGAGCCGCAGTGTGTACCTGTTCCCTGCAGGGAGCGCTGTGGCTGAAGAGTGCCAGCTCTCTGACTGGCTGCTTGGCCTCCGTGAAGGAGATGCTCATCAACACCAGCAGATCCAAACCCAGCTTGTGGCAGAAGCTGCAAAGCTCCGCCTCCAGCTCCACCCTCTGCAGAAACGCCTGACACACACGCATGCACGTTAACAAACGCATTGGCAACACGTTAACACAGACTTACACATGCATACACACTCACATTGAAAAACACACACAGGACACTCATTGACACGCGCACACTAACACACACACCCGTTCAGCATCCTCACCACAAGTGAGTTCGCACTGAATGTGTGTCTATGTGTGAGAGAAGCAACCTCTATGGGCAGGAAGAGTACGGAGACAGCCATGGACAAACTTCCTTTCAGCATCTTCATGTCCTTCATCAACATCTGTTCCGTGTTGAGCCCTGAAGACGATGACATCATCAGTTGTGACATAAGACGGTCCAGGCAAAGGTGGGGCTCACCTGACACGTCAAACTTAGCATTGTGCAGGGCCTGGAAGAGAGCTGCACGCGGTGGCAGGGAAGGGAAACGCGCCTCCAGAGCGGCGACATACTGGCTGTCTTTGGCTGTCACCTTGCCCGCCGCGGGCGCCATGTTGACGCAGTCGGTCAAGATGGTCGCTAAGCAATGCGGTAGATGCTTATCAGTCACGAGCGGGCGGTCGAGCAGGAGGGTGTTTGGGGTCGCTTACCGTAGAGAAGCTGCGCCAGCTGCTGGTCCAGAACGTGCGGCGCCTTATGGACGAGGCGTTCGGTCACCAGGGTGGCGCAGGAGCCCACCGTCTCCACGGTAATGGGACAGGATGGACTGGGGTTTCGCTCCAGCGCGTGATGGTCAATCACCTCCACCACCGCCCCCTCAAGGTCGGCATCTGAACTGCAAGGACAGACACCTGAGATGTCACTGCACTCCGCCCACGGCCCCCTGGTGGTGGCTGGCATCATTACATGTGGATCCTGACTGATGCCCATTCCACCACTTATTTCTTTTGTGTTTTCAAGCTTTGGGTGCCTCCTTACAGTACAGCTATGGAACCGTCCAAATTTTTACCTGGGAAGGACATTTTGGTCTACGAGCGTGAGGCGTAGGCGACCCGCCCGCCGCAGCGCCGCCAAGTCCAGCTGGTCCCTGAAGAGCAGGAAGTCTGGAGAAAGGCCGGCCTGGCGCAGCAGGAACACGTTGTCGGAACGGAGCAAAAGCTCCCCCTGCCGGATGTTGAGCAGCGGCACGCTGAGCACCTCTTCATCGCCGCGCGTCTGCCGAGAGGAGGAAATCAGTCCTTTGGCTGATGTGACCGCTCTGATGTGACACAACGCAATTCAGGCTCACCTTGGACAGGTAGTAGGCATACACCAGCGAGGACACCATGGAGTCCAGGTCGCATGCCTCATTTCCCAGAACCACGTGGAACGGATGGCCTGACGGTAGCCCATCACTTGCCTGAGAGAAAGACATCCGACAAACAAAATCTAACATCCAACGCATGACCTAAAACATTCCACAGCTGGCATCCAATCTACATACCACATTGTACATGTGACAACAAATGCATAGCATCTGATTCAACACAACATCCCAGAGAGTACTTTATAAATGGGCTGAGAGAGTACTTTATAAATATATTTTTCAAATTAGACGCTGGAGGGATTTGGCTGGGACTATACAAATTTCTGACGGGGGTGCGTCCCCCCGCCCCCGCCCTCCAGCCTCGGTGTAGCGCCATCCCTTGAGGGACCAACATCTGACAGGCAACACCCAACTCCAACCGCAGTGTTTCAGAGCTGTCTCTGATATGTTGTTTATTGGGATTGATTGACGGCTGCCACACGCGACTCACTGCCAGAGCCAAAGAGTGATTTGGGCTCTTTCGAGACTTGATTCGCCTATCTCCAAACTTCCATAATGTCTCGCGGTATTTGGACAAGTTCGCATTGCTCACATGCGAGTGACACCTAGAGGACAAATTGTGTAAAACGTCCCCTCCTTCAATGACTGTCATCCTCGTGTACGCGTGCGCGTCATTGTGCGTGCGTCTGTGCATGTATACGTGTGTTACCTTGACGGCTGCGTGGCAAGTGGAGAGAAAGTCGTTCATGGTTCACACACGGCTCCGGTTCAGTGATCAGGTGTCTTTGTGTGTGGCGTAGTCGCTCAATGACCAAAAAGTGACGAGGTGTATGGCGTGTGAAAGGTCACGCTGCCTTCACGGTCTTCTCCCAATGGGAATCTTTCGCTTCGTCTACTCTTGAGTCATCGAAGCTCCATATTTGACATGCATCCAAGCTCTGAGTTTTGTTCTTGTGCTTGGAAGCGTTCGTTGCAAGGAAGCCTCTTCGTCGTGAGGCGCAAAGCCACGTCATCAAGAAGCGACAGCGGTGTGGTACTTTAATTTGACTTGTAAAAAAGACTGTCGATTACCTCCAAAAGACTCTACAGTATGTTTTTGAGTATTTGAAGAGAGACTTTGAAAGTGTTTCAACTGAACGAAAAATGCAATACTGTACACATAAACACACACCATGTAGTGCATCACATGCACAGTTTTCTGTGCAATACACGTGTTCCCGTTTATTAGTTTTTAAAAAATTTATTCTGTTTGTCAATTACATTTTTTCCATCTCATCTTTTTATATTGTTAATGGTTGTTCCTTTCACGTATGCCAAACCCACCCTCGCATCAGCTTCCTTCGATCCCGGGAGATCATAGGACCGTAAATATTGTCACATCAGGACATTTTGGTGTCCTGTATGAAAACTTCCTGTGTGGGCAAAACGTTTTGAATAACACAACTGTGTTAAGTGGCGTTTGTAACTCATGTACATTTGACGGGAGAATATTTTCCATTTTTCCACCAGGACTTGAAGGCAACATGAATGAACAGTAGAATGGAATGTTACTCCGGGAAATAAAGTCTTTTTTAAAAACTGTTCTTTTTCTCTTGCTTACATTTGAGCAAAAATTTCAAATCGTTCATTTGAACTGTACGTTCTTTTAGTCATTTTAGTTAGCAGTCTTTTACTTATGTACTTGTTTTTAAATATCTTGACTTTTTTTTTTAACTTAATGCTTTGCAAAGTTGAACTTCTGCGATTGGCTGGCAACCAGTTCAGGGTGTACCCCGCCTACTACCCGAAGACACCTGGGATAGGCTCCAGCATGCCCGCGATCCTTGTGAGGATAAGTGGATCAGATAATGGATGGATGGAAGTTGAAATTTCAATCATGCAAATAACATTGAGTTACCTTGTGTATGACGTAAACTCTAGAAATGAAGCTGACTTGCCTTTTCAATCACTTTTGCTCAGCTTCATTGACCTCAGGGTGACGTCACACCATAAATGCTCAATGCGGGAGGCTTAAAAACAACACAAGGTGTATCCCAACTTGTTCATTTAATGACACGAGTTGATTTCTGTGTTTGCACGGGGGCTTTCAGGCATCACATTCCGTTCAAAGAAGATGAACAGAACACCCATTAACACAATTAACTTCAAATTAATTAATGTTAATGAACATGTGTCCTCAAATCCCAGCCACCGCATTGACTTCCTCTCTGGTTTCCATGGCAACATGTAACCGCCGCCTACTTCACGGCCTGCTGGCAGCACGTTGACCTGTGACCCCTAGGGTGATGACTGACAGCTGTCAGTCTGTAAAAAGATATTATTTCTTAAACAGTAAAACAATGGTCAGTGTGCTCTGACCTCAATAGCTACATCTTCTCCACGTAGTTTCCGGGGAACATTCCCTCTCGGCCGCGAAGGCGTCCGTACCACCAGCCCGATGGATCTAAATCACAAATGTCTCATCGTTAGAAGAAAGAGAAGAAGTGGGTGACAAAGATTAAGCAAAATGGGCAGCAGAAGAGGGAGGAGAATAACTCGAAGGAAGAGGAGAAGAAGGAGACGAAGGTGTTCAGTTGCTAACTCATTTCGGTGCGCTTCCCTTTTGCACTGTTAAACAGTTGTAGTGCTGTGAGTGAGGAGTAGAAGGAAAGAGGATAATATTTAAGAAGAAGAGGACGGCGGCTCCACTGGTACCTTCAGTGAGAATCTCAATGACGTCATCTGTGTTGAAGCTGAGCTCATCTGTGTCCTGGGCATCGTAAGCGTAGAGGGCGCGACACTGCGGGGAACGAGGCTTTGGTTTAGGTGCCGGTTTCGGACGACCCGCTCCAGGGACCGGCTTCATCTCCTTGGAACGCCGACGCTGCAGCCTAAAGACAGACACGACAACCGGGAGTCAAGTGTGCGGAGCCACATGGGTGTGAGGGTCCCCTGATGCATATAACCCGACGGGCTCACTCTACTATATCATTATTTTCCCAGGTTCCAACTGACAGGATCTCAGCAGGTCCCAGACTTAGTCAAAAGCACTACTCGGACTACAGTGGCAAGCGGCCTCTGATTCACATGCATTCATGTCCCGTGGACTCTCATGGCCGCCTCGAGTGAAGATGGAGCCGCCCGTCACCATAGCTTCCGTGGATCTGAGTGCGTGTATGGATCCCGTGGACTTTTACAGACTTGTTTGGGGGCGGGATGGATCAGTGTTGGTAGTCTCCCCTTGCCCCTGTGATTGTACCGAAGTGTCCTTGAGCAAGATACTGAATCCCCAGTTGCTCCTGATGCTGCATCATCAGTAGGTGAATGAGGAGTCAGTGTCAAGCGCTTTGAGTACCTTGTACTACCCGGCGGGGACTCAGCTCAAAAGGCGGTAGTATCAGCTCGAGTTGTGATCCAAGTGTTCTCACCCGGCGGCACCCTGGTCCGGGACGTTCATGAAGCCCATGTCTACATGCTTAGCACACCCGCGCCCGCTGTCACGCCGATGCTGGTTCTGGTTCTGGAGTCGGGGCAGACTGGGCTGCTCCATGCTGGACTGCTGCCTCAGTAACGTGCCTCTGGAGGAGCTTCCTTGGCGGGTCTTGACGCCCTCATTGTGAGGACCTGAGGAAGTCAACAGTGCAGATGAGTCCCGCAGTTGACATCATTAAAACAGGGTATGTTCAACTGGTACCTGGGGTGTTCTGGGTGCTGGGTGTGGCATGATTGTCTCGGTAGAAACTCTTCCGGTTATCCCTCCTTGTGGGTCCTGAGAACAGACGGGAAGTCAGAGGAGACACTCAGGAAACCCTGGTTCCACTCACGAGACCGGTGGCGCTCACGTGAGTTTTTGGGCAGACCCGGTCCAATGGAGACATGCAGAACCTTCCCACTGGGTTTTAGGACTGCCTCGTCCCCCTGACCCACCTGGAACTGGATCTGCCTGGAACCCGATGAGCTAAACGGACCCCATCCTCCTTTCTTCACTTTGAACTCCAGACTGAACGCACAAAGGAAGACAAAGAAAGATCTAAATCGGGAACCGGACACAGGTGGTTCGACTGCTAAGAAGACGCAGAATGTATTTGGGTACTCACAGGTTGTTGAACTTCAGCGGAAGATTACTCTGAGTTTTCTCGTGGTGACGTTTGATAAGTAGACTAAGGAATTCGGTCTTGAAGACACTCTGGAGGACACTGTCATACTCTTGTTGGTGGATAATAAAGATGTCATCCTGCAGGGTGCTAAAGATGCACACAAAGACAGATTGCTCCATTCAAGTAGCACATATTTCCGGTTTCTTCCAGTTCCGCTTGTCTACCTGATACATCTTTTAGTTTGCAATCCTTAGATTCATTCAAAACAACAAACATGCATCCATGCATTTTCAACACCGCTCATCCTGAAAACAGGATTGCGGGAGGGTGGTGGAGACTATTCGAGCTGACTTCAGGTGAAAGGCGGACTACACCCTGAACTGGTCACCAGTCAGTTGAATTGCAGGACACATATAGAGAACCATTCACACTCACATCGTTACTATCTACAGTATTTGTTTTCAAAATTTCTCAACAAGTTTTAGCCAATGTTGTCAACTTGTTTTTGGGCTTCTTGTTTGATCAATGTTTTTGCGGTTCTTTTTCGAAATCCAGCTCAAGTCCGGGTTTTGGTTGCGATGATGCAGTCCCGAGTTTGGATTTGTACCTCAGGGAAACAGACTGGATATTGTCGAGTTCCATCTTCCTTTTGAGAACCTCCTGGATTTGACCTTTATCTGGCCCCTGTTTCACCTTCTCCCGACCAATCATGTACAAGAACTTGGGGGTGAGTATGAGGTCACGCTTTACCGTCTGGTCGAAAGAAAGAAAGAAAAAAAACAACTCTGGTGTTGTGAAGCCAAACGGTTCCTTGAGTTTGGTGTCCCTCTTACCCTGAACCTGCGGTCAAATTTGATGACCACATCGGCAAAGTCAATCCTCTCCCTGCGACCGACAAACTGCCGGATCTCCGGGTGGACGTCGGTGCCGATGTAGTCGCCCACAAAGTTCCGGTTCAAGCTGTTCTTGCGTCGTTCCTTCTTGTTCAGCAGGATGTCAGATGCTGGAAGAAGAACGAAAGAAATAGAAGCGGGCGAATCTGCTTCCAGAGAGAGTGCGTGAGAGATGAGGTCTCACCTTCCTCCCTCATCTTCACATACTTGCGTACGGCAATGTGTTTACGCCACGCCTTTTGGATGACCCGAGCGTAACCGTTGTACTTCCTCTCTCTCATCTCCTCCAACAGGAAGAGCTGCAGGAGACACAACCACGCGGTGGATCTAGATCCAGAACTCCACTCACTACCTCGACATGTTTTCGTACCGACTCTGGTGCTTTAACAAAGACTTTTGTCTTCCCCAGCTGGAATTGGTCCTCGTCCATATTGACCGAGTTTAAGAGATGCAGGACGCCCTGACGCTGGTCACCTTGCCAAGTGGGCCACGTCTCTTTGGTCAGGATGGCGTACCTGCGTGGCTAAAAGGTTAGCGACAACGGGCATGGTGACCCGCTATCGGCGCTCGCACTCCCGGCTCTCTGACCTCTGCAGGAATTTGTTGAAAACGCGACGGAACGCATATCCGGCTCGACGGACCCGGATGTTCTCGCGGAGGCCCAGGTACTCCACCTGGTGTCGTACTCTGTTCTCCTCCCAGTCCCGAGGACGTTTGGTCTCGTTGGGTTTGATGCAGCGAATGTAGTGAGGGGTACACTTCATGAGTGTCTGGACCAGAGTGTTGGCTTGTTTCTAACCAGACAGGAGGATCATAATGAGGTCATCAGGTCAGACCAAGCCACCTGACGAACGGTCAGTTGCTCACCTTGATCTTGCTGCTGGCCGTGGTTGGACGTCCTCTCTTCTCGGCGTTGAGGTTCTCAGGGAAAAGCGCTCGAATGAACGGACTGACATCAAAGCATCGCACGGAGCCGTCAGGTCACGACAGGATGAGGGTGTCACGTATGACGCCGCGCAGCACTTACAACTCGCTGCCTTGCATCAGCTCGATGATGTCGTTGAACAGAACGTCTCGGTTCCTCTCGCAGAAGCCGCTGACGTCGTACGACACCTGAACGACGCACAAGGCTCATCAGACAGACCGACAGACGAAGCGCGTCATGGCTCGGTGGTGTGGAGGTGGGTGCACCTTTCCAGCGTAGTGGTGTACGATGAAGCCTTTGTTCCAGCTGCTGAAGTGTTCGTGCGAGCCAACTTGACCTTGGAGTTTCTGCAGGAGTGTCTGGTCTGCGCCATCCCCTTTGGCATGCATGGTTGCACACACATCATCCAACACGCTCATGATGCCAGGAGGATTCTGGGAAGGATCACAAGGAAGATCATGGAAGGTATTTATGTGCATTCAACTGGGTTTTGGGGGCAACTGGTCTCTTGGTTGCTTGATTGCTTAATGTTGCGTAATTGGACCACTCACCAGTTTGGACTCAATGAGGTCACACACAACTTTATTGTTGAAATACTCGATGGGTGTCCATTTGATTCCCTCCTGAACATACTCCTCCTACACACACACATACACAAACAAACAAACAAACAAACACACGTGTGCATATATCTGTGAAGGAGGTTCTTGGATCGTGAGAAGAAGTTGCCTGAGATGATGGTGAAGTCACAACACCTGTTCTGCCTTCAACGTGAGTTGGATGAAAATCTGCTGCAGCTTCTCGTTGACGAAGTTGATGCAGAACTGTTCAAAACCGTTTTGCTAAAGCCACAAAACAAACGCCAGATTAGCGACTGTGTGTCTGCATGTCTGTGTGTGTGTGTGTGTGTGTGTGTGTGTGTGTGTCTTACCTGGAAGATCTCAAAGCCGTAGATGTCCAGAACTCCGATGTTGAACTCCTCCTGATCCTTCTGAATGGCTCTATTGACACACTGACATGAACACACACACACACACACACACACACACACACACACACACACACACACACACACACACAGTCAATGGCGAGGTAACAGCCAATGGACCAGGACCGTGTGAATGCGAACTGACATCGACCAGGAAGTCAAAGAGGCGGCTGTACAGGGCTTTGGCGAGGGCATCGCGGGTAAAGCAGGCCTGCTCCGTGTTCAGGGTGACCGAGATGGACTCGGTCTTCCCCCCCCACTTGCTGTCCATAATCCTGCTGGTCAGTTTGCTGCACAGAGCGTCCTGAGGGATCCCGAGCAGGAAGGACGGGAAGGCCAGAACTGTAGCACGCACACGGCGTTACACGAGCCGGTGACCGGCAACATGACGCTGCGCCCAATTTTTCAGGACTTACAGTCGGAACTCTCTACCACCGCAAAGTTGTTCTCCTCGCGGAAGTTGATGTTGCCCAGGTGGAGGATGCCCGCGACCAGCTGAATGACCGAATCCTGGTCCTCCATGGACAGGCCTACCACCGACATGGCGCCCTGACACGTCAACACACAGAAAAACAGAGGTAAACGGGTGTGGAGACACCGACAAACGCACAGACAGGTAGACTGATGTACAGACAGACAGATAGCCAGCGATAGACAGACCAAAGTGTCAGAGAATTCCTTCTTGTCGTCGACGTCTTCCACCGTGAACGTTCCCGACTGGTTGAGGTAGTTGTAGTAGTCGGGGGTTGTGACCCCAAGGTTTTCCCTCTGCTCCCCACTCGCTCCCTCCAGCAGCTGAGAGTCAGAGCTCAAAGGTGAGTGAAGTTAGGGTTCGGGTTTGTAGCTTTTAAGTTTGTTTAAGTTGGAACTTTTGGTTGGAGTTGAGGGGAAAGAGCTGGCGTAGCAATGCCTGGTCTGATCTGGTAGTACCTGGCAACATCCAGTAGTACCAGGTGGTACCTGATGCTATCTGTCAGCGCACAATAATATCTGCTGATGTCTGGTAGGACCTGATCGTACCTGGTAGTAGATGTGGAAGTTCCTCTCTCCTGGATTTTGTGAAACCACGCGGCTCTTCTCCAACAGGAAGTTGGAGATCTTTCCTCCGTCGGGAGCGCCACCGCGGCTGAACTGGATCTCAAAGTACTTTCCCTGTCAGGGGATTGCATGTTCCATACGTGTGTGTTTGTGTGCACCTGTCCGTGTCCGTGTGTGCGTATGAGTGGCGAGTACTAACGAAGCGGCTGGAATTATTATTCCGGACTGTCTTGGCGTTCCCGAAGGCCTCCAGCAGGGGGTTGGACTGCAGGATGATGTCCTTCACATGCTGCACACATACACACACATTTATTAGTGCAAGAGCTCCCGGACCCTGCCTCACCTCAAGCGCCCCCCCCCCCCCCCCCCCCCCCAAGCCCCCCCCCCCCCACCCCTCCACTCACCTGCACCTTGTCGCCACCCCCCGACACCTTGGAAACGTAACTCATGATGTATTTGGCTGCCACCGTCTTCCCGGCGCCACTCTCGCCACTGAGGACCATCAAAGAAGTCAGACGAGTCAGTGAGGGAGACTTTTTTTCCTTGATGAAACAAAGTCCCGCCCACCTGATGATGACACACTGGTTCTCGCTGTCAATCATCATGTTGCGGTAAACGTCATCGGCCAGCGCGTAGATGTGAGGTGGGTTCTCGTATTGAGCCTGGGACAGGCGACATCATCAACATGGATGCTACACCGAAGGTTCTCAACAGGTGGTCGTGGTGGGTGCGGTGACACTTTGGGTGCGTAGCGACAGCTAGTGAAAAAAATGACTAAAAAAAGCATCACGCACCACAAGAAGGCTTGCTCACTTAGCATCGTATCTCTAGTTTGTCATTCAATTGTTTGATATACAAGATCATACCAAGTATTTACTGTCATTCTGACGCCTATGGGATTAGCATAGCTTGGTGAGTCTCCGCGGCATGCTCCAAATTGCGTCGCCGCGTTGCCTTTTATTTTGACAGACTTGCATCAGAAACGTTACTACTTAGAATGTAAAAATACATGTGTTGCTCATCGGTTTGCCTTTGTTCCCCACACACAACAGCCTAGTATTAGGCTGAGGGGCTTTCCTAAAAAGTAGATCTCAGATAAAATTGAAAATTTCCAACTGCAGTTTGTGTTTTTTTATGATATGTTAGTTTGAGTCTATTCGATTTTTGCAGTGGTATGTTCATCCCAAGTTTCTAAACAACAGTCAGGAAAATGGGAGTCAAGAGTTGAGATTCACTGCGCCGGACGACTACAAGACATATTGGGAAGACACAAAGTAACTTGAACCTGATATTGTATTTTTATGACTAGGAATGTCTAAGTGTGTGCGTGCGTGTGCATGCATCTGGTACCGCTCCCTGGTAGAGGTCCACTTCTCTGTCTGTGAAATATGGAAGTTGTTTAAATGGATTGACGGAGATCAGAACCGGTCCAATGTAGGTCTGACAAAAATATGTCAAGGATTGCAGTAGAAGTGGTAAGTGAAGTACTGAAAATGGTGTGGCTGAGCGTGTGAGTGTGTTTAATCGTGTGTTGAGGATACAAAGATGTAGTCGTCCATGTATCTCTTCTTGAGGTTCTCTGTGATGGCATCCTCGTTGATTTTGGACAGGAGCACCATGTCATCCACACCGCTTACCTTCACATCCTGAGCCAGCCAATGATAGCGCTCCTTGCTGCCCTGTAAGGGTGGCAAAACCAAACTTCAATTTTAAACACTAAAACATTAACACATACGCACACGCACACACACACACACACACACACACACACACACACACACTCCAAGGCAAGGGTGAGAACCTTTTGTTAAGACATTCAGTTTCATTTTGACACATGGGTACATTGGAAGACAGATTTAAGGTCAAAGATAAAAAGCATAGTTTTGTATTTTGACTCATTTCATGGTACGGAATCCGAATGTCAGAGAATATCCTGATAATGTGAGCCACAGGCGTGTCTCCTTCCTGAATTTCCAGCATTCCAAAGTCCTGTTGGCTCATGTTTGTGGACGCAAACTACACTATTCACACACACAGTTTGTGTGTGTGGAATGGTTGTTTATGTATGTGTGTAAGTGTATGTGTGTATATGAGAGAGAGAGAGAGAGAGAGAGAGAGAGAGAGAGAGAGAGAGAGAGAGAATTGATCCCAAGAGCTGATATATATATGTGTGTATGTTTTTTTTGCATTATTATTATTATTTTTTTTATTTAATCTTTTTCACCATTTTGCTTGGTTGACTTTTGGTTCATTTCACTCTTCTTATTAGATATACTGTACAAACCAGAAACCAGGAAAAAGAAACAAGTCAAGGAAAAAGTTCCAGAGCAGAAGCCACAAGTAGCACAAGTACAATTCAAGAGAGGATCAAATCCGGGATTTGGATCAGACCCAGCACCATTACAAGGACCACAACCATGATCAGTACAAGGACCAGAACCAGGAGAAGGGCGTGTCACCAAGACGTTGGCCTCACCATGTCTGCTACTGTCACTTCTTGAAAAGTTGAAGTTGACCCACAAATCAATCCAGATCAGATCACTTGAGTCCACATGAGTCCACTTTGCCGCTGTGCACACAGCTGCTACTTTGGAGACAGACGAAGCGTCAAGGGAAGCCAAGTCCATGCAGGTGTGGACAGGTATGGCCACGCCTCCCCCTCCTTCTCCTTCAAGGAAATCTGAGGAAAACACATGCGCCTGCCCTCTGCTGTCGGCAAATAAATCAGCCAGTCTTCATACGATCTGGAATGTTTTTCGTGGTGGAGAGATCTATGGAGTCGGACCTCACATTGACATGGCTTTCACCATGACCAATTATTTAAAGCCATCTTTCACTTCACCTTGACGTCAAACTGTGTTGACTATTTGTGTAATGTTACACCTGTTTAGAATATTAATGTAACAATATTCCACACAGTTTCACTCGTTTGTGTCCAGCAAAAATATTTCCTCTCCAAACGAATTCAACAAGATGGCCCTAATGTAAAACTGCATTACTGTATACGATTTTATCAATATAAAATCTCTTTTTGTGAGGGCAGGATTCGTGAATGGATTAACCAATGGGAGGAGAGTTCCAGGCGATTCTATTGGCGTTGGCGGGGAGGGGCGTGGTTTGACGGCGAGCGTCCAACATGGCGGTCTAGCTGAGTGCTTTTGGCCTTCTACGTACAGCGAGCGTCACATTTACGTTTCATTTGACTTCTTTTCTTTTGCTCTCGGCAACTTTGAGACATTGACGATGGACATGGACATGAAGAAGAGGGTCCACTTGGAGCTGAAGGACAGAAGTCCCGCTGAGGTGCGTGAACGGCGACGGCCCATCAAACGTCTCCTTTTGTTGTCTCCTTTTTTTGCTCGCAATGCCTCATTAGGAATGTGGCAACATGGAGTCCGAGTCGTGGTTGTGGACTCGGACGTCGACGTTTGTATTCTTTCCCTCCGTCGCATCGCCGCCATTGTTTCAGCTTCGCGTTCGCGCCTTCCACTTCTCGTCACGTGACTTGAAAAACCACACTTTGGCTTGTCTTTGGCGCCAAAACGTTGTTGTCGTGCTCGCTCGCTCACTTCCGGTTGGGAAACCGCCTCCGTTTACGGCTTGGTTACCCTGGTGACCGTCTCCCGGGACTCGTCCATCACAAACTCCCTTTCTAAAGTCGGATGTTGTCATGACAACCACTGAGCACGATATATACACACACACGCCCACAAGCACACAAGCTGTTCAAATGTGAACTGTCTGTTGTTGTCGTGCAGGTGTGCGTGTTGGCCTTGGACACATGTCGTTCGGGCGATGGCGAGGTGGATGGCGTGACAGAGGAGTTTTCGAGTCTGGAGGTTCTGCGCATGGCCAACGTGGGCCTGAAGTCCCTCTCCAAACTGCCTTCGTTACCCAAACTACACAAGGTGGGGCAGCCCAGCACTCACTTCCTGTAATGTGGGGTGCAAAGATGGAAGCTTTACTGGTGCTCATTTAAATTCTTTGAACTCGCCAACACAAACTTCTTTCATCTTAACACTTTCCACGTGTGTTGCGTGCGTAACGGGCAGGTAGCCCTGGCTCATGACCACACCCTAAGTGGACCCCTGATTCATTTAAAAATATATATTATATTCTTAGTTATTGTTTTTACTTTTTCAAACCCATCCATTCATCCATCATCTGATCCTTTTGTCCTCATGAGGGGAATCACAATATCTGGTGATTTTGTTGTTTGCTTCAAACCCTTTGTTGTTGGCTTGGGATAATTAGAAATGTCTCACGAAAAATGAACACCATTAAGAGCATATGCTTTGCACATATGCATGTGCATGTTGTCCATATCTAAAGTCGCATTTTTGTCATGCATGTGGTTAGCAAGTGCGTGGTTCCATGGGGCCCTCGAATAGCATTGCTGAAAAATTGTGGCCGCTCCCAACATTGAAGTTGTGTGTATGTTGTCAGTTTACCATCAAGTTTTGCATGTCTATAAAATGAAACTTGCGCCCAAAAGGAAGTGAGAATATAAAAGTTCCAAGATCAGAACATGTGAAAGCAACCATTGCCTTTGACAATTCCTGTTGCCACAATGCATTGCTGCTTGCCTCATGTCTTTTCTGGCACGTGCGCGCTCTTTGTTTGTCAGCTGGAGTTGAGCGGCAACGCCATCTGTGGCGGTTTGGAGGCACTGGCCGAAAAGTGTCCCAACCTGACGCACCTCAACATCAGCGGCAACAAGATCGCCAACATGGCCGCCCTGGAGGCTTTGGTGAGTACCCACAGGAAGTCATCGCTGCGCAGTCAGAATTCTCCTGACGTGGCCCCGACCGCCCACAGGAACCCCTAAAGAAGCTGAAGACTTTGGATGTGTCGGGTTGCGAGGTGAGCACGCAGGACGACTACCGTGACGCTGTCTTCCGCCTCCTGCCGAACGTCAGCTATCTGGACGGATATGATCGCCACGACAACGAGGCACCGGATTCGGACAACGGTAACACTCCCATTGCTTGCTCGTCAAATGTGCGTGTGTCCGGACAAAGGGATGATAGTCACTGCAATTTGGGTCAACGGGTAGCTGTTGTTACATGCTTTTGTCCACTGGAGGGCGCTTTAATGACTGTGAAATTGGCTGTGACTTTAGATCTTGCTCGATGTTGATGCAGTCGTGAAGGATCAAAGTTGCCCCAGAAAAGGGAGCCGCCTTCATTGAATGCTGATGTGCCACTTTTGCACCAAAGTTGCATGGAAACAAATAAATACTTGAAGACGCTGAAATAATACCAAGTCAGCAGCTTCGGTTCCAAAGAGGTTGCTTTGGTGGAATATTTTTATGTATTTTCAGGCACTGCCACAATTCAGAAACATTCCCACTAAGGCTGGGAGGCTTTTTGAAAACGCTTCGGTTTGGCTGGCATGTGCCTTGTTTGGCATAGGTAATTTAAATTTTTCCCCTCCTTTACCAACGGAGCACAGCACTGTACGCTTGTGACCAGAAAGTCCAACTCAATGCCAAGCGCTGATTGGAGATGAGGAACCCAAACATTATGGCTTGACGATATTTTTAAAAAAAAAAGTCTAGACGTTTACGTGACGAGTTGTGACACAGATGTAGCGTCTTTCGTCCTGCTTTTGAAATCAGTGCAATGACCAAACGGCTTTGGTTAGCCGACTTAATATTTACCACCAAAGTCTTTGAATGTGAATGTTTAGCATCATCTTATGTAAAGCTTTTGAATTTGAGAACATTCTCATATTTACTGGGTGAAGTCAAGCATGCATAATTCGCGGTAACATTGCCTGCAGAGTCCACGTGAGATCAAGTTGGGGTGACTATGGCCCCTCTCCTCAAATGACTTTGATATCCCTGGACTCAAACGCAAACACGGCAAACAAACAAAAACGGTTGCGCACAAAAGACTTCACGTTACAAAATACCTTGACGTTGTTTGCACTGAAAGAGTTGCATAGGGACTCGGAAGTGTGCGTCCTGGGCGATTTTTGACAGGTTTAGTGGACTGTTGTGTTGCAGACGAGGATGATGGCGTCGGTCCACACGGTGGGAATGACGATGATGACGACGATGATGATGAAGATGTCTCGGAGGAGGAGGAGGAAGAGGAGGAAGTCGGACTGTCATACCTGATGAAGGAAGGCATCCAGGTGGGTGACTTCATATAGTAAATTTGAGAGCTCACAAAAAAAAGACTCAAAAGGGATTTTTAAAAATCACTCATGATATTGTTGATAAGAGCATACAATAATAACCTAAATAACCATTTTTAGTTTGCCGAACAAAGCAATGCGACAACAATGGAGATGGCGCCCACTAGAACAATGGCACCAAGATGATGAATTTAATTTGGATTGCGAATTCGATCAAGAAGGCAGTGTAGGCGGAATGCACATGTGTAGGTTTCTTGACACGCGTGCATACCGCCTACACTGCCGTCAAGCTACCTTGCTTCGCAGCAGCAGCAACAAGCTGCATGATGCGGATCCTCTCCTCCGTGGTAACAAATAAATGACCATTAAAAGAGGCCTGGAGAAATCTCGGGAGAGAATGTGCACTGCATTCTACCCGCTACAACAATTTCTGCGGCCTGTGGCGCAAACGCGTCACAGACGTGCCGCGCAGCACAATGCTTCGGTCATGTGATGCATTACGGACGTTATCGCCCACACGTTACGTGCGAGTATAAAGAGCCCCTTAAGCAATGCACATCAGCTGAGTTGCACTTTCGACAACAGAAGCCACCGAAAAAAAATAAAAATCATCCAGAGCTTTAAACTGTCCAATGGATGAATGTGTGGGACCCTCTTTTGACGGCCACTTGTCTTCAGGACGAGGATGACGACGGCGACTACGTGGAGGAGGAGGAGGAGGACGGGGAGGAGGACGATGCAGATGGAGGTTAGTTAGCAAGAAACAAACAAATTGGCGAGGGAAACCAAAAGTGAAGGCTCACACCGTCATTGGCTTCTCAGACGATGAGGCTCTCCGAGGCGACAAGAGGAAGAGAGACGACGACGATGACGAAGACGGGGATGAAGATGACCAATAGTTGAGTGCCACCAGGCCCCGCCCACTTTTTTTGCTGACTTCGAGCCGTGTCCCCTCAGTGGCACAGGAAACGCAGTTGGTGATCAGCTGGTCCTGGTCTGGTCTTGGTCCTGGTTCTGGTGTGTAAATACAAGTGAACTCTTTTAACTTTGGAAGTCCCACCAGTTGATTTTTTTTTTTCTTTATGGTGTTTTTGTTGTTTTCTAGCATCGTCAAATGGTCACATGATGCCATTGTTTTTCAATAAAACTGCCACAAGCAACGTGACTTGTCACACTCTTTCTTTGGGGTCTCAATGATAGCCAGCTGTTTTCAGAGGATTTGGGCGGATTTTTAAAGAGCCACAGAATATTGGCTGCATATATATAAACTAAATTTGCCCAAACAAAGAATAGACTCTCTTCCTTCAGCAGGGAAAATGAACTGCAGCCTGACCTTTTTGTCCTTTAAGGCCATAATCTTCACTGATCAGCGAAGGTTTGCGATTGTGTGAGCACCTAACGAATGTTGTTTTATTTGCAGGGTTCGTTCAAGGTCGCGAGTTGGGCAACAATTTTAATGGTCTCCAAAAGTTGCTTCGTTGTTCAAAATTTGATGGTGACAAGAAAAACTGTTCGCAATCTTTACAACTGTGTGGGGATGTCTGGCAGACGTCTTTACATCTGTTTGCAACATTGTACGAAGGTTGACAAGTAAAGAAAATGGTTGCGTGCGTGCACAATTGCAAACCTCCAAAATCTCAGTGGGATATGGGATTTGGTAATCAGCAGTTAAACAAAATCAAAGCGCCCCCCCCCCCACTGCCTCAAAGAAAAAAAAACAGCAAAAACTAACTTTGTGGGTTTGGGTCAGTCATGGAAAAACTGAGCAGACAGACTCTTGGTTTCTTCAGTTTCTTGTTTATCGGAATGCCTGCTGTCACTAACGCCCAGAAATCAAAACATGACTTGTCTAAAAGCTGCCAGAAGAACTGAAGTGATTTTGGTGAGGAAAACTCAAGGAAACATGCATGCAAAAGTGGATCCGTGGGACCAACTCCAGTTATTTTTCTTGTCATGGTTGTATCCACCCAAACAAATGTAGCGGGCATTTTCCACTGAAGAAGAAACAAGCAGATTGACGGGTTTCCTCTTTTACTTTGGTCCATGGCTACATCAAGCACAACAGTGACTTGGATACAATATTTTTAGGCTATTGTGACACCTCAAACATTTGATCTCACGGTGCTTTTATTCTCGAAAGCAACACCCACTTGTAGGAATGGCTTCTGATTGCAAAATAAGAGTACATAAAGCAACATCCGCTGTAGGAATGGCTTCTGATTGCAAAATAAGAGTACATCTACCAGGACAAACTTGCTGTGAGCAGCTCTAAACTCACCAGATTGAGTGACTCATTACATAGCGACTGTCATCCTCGTCATAAATTCAAGATCTCTGTTGTATTTTGTCACGCGCACGCGCGCGCATACTTCCGTTCACGACCACAACGCAAACCGTCACTAACTGAGCTGCTGATTTGAAATGGTGCAACGCTGCCATCTACTGGTGGCTGTCAGTAATGTTTCCAAACATTAAATTGACAGTGAAGCAGGGTAAGAGGCTCTCGCACCCATCCGCGTCGAAAAATGTCATTCCCCGGTGAATGAGTTCGCATGTTGCGTTGTTAGCTTACACTCAGTTAGATTTGAGTTAGAATGACACAGAAGATGTTGATGTTTTCCTTTTAGTTGATCCCACTGTTTGCTTGTCCATTTAGTGGCTTCAGGTTGGGGAATTGTGCTGATGCCGGTTCCTTTCTTGCAACTGGTCCAGTTGGCCGTGGAGTTCCCTGAGCTCCTTCACCTCCTGCAGGACCTGGCGGGCCTGCTCCAGGGCTGCGAGTGCTTCCTTCAGGAGGTTGGAGGCTTCCACTCTCATTTCCTCCATTGACTCTATCAGTTTTCCATCTTTGCCTTTGCGGTCAAACTCGGGCGCATCCCGTGTGGCCGCCAACAGCTGCTCCGTCTGTGCCACTTTGAGGCTGATGAGGCGGCGCAGGCGACTTACGGACGAAGAGCCGTCCGAGCGCAGTGGCGAAGCCCGGTTCTTGTCCGAGTGGCTGGAAATCTCATCCATTGAGGCGCAGCGGTTCTTCTGGGATGTCCTGGATTCATTTCCTGGCCCGAAAGTGCAGCTGGGACCTGTCTGCTCTTTTGCCAGTGCCTCACGAGGAAGACTCTGTGACTTCCCAGAGGCTTGAGCAGTCCCAACGAAGAGTGTGCCATGCGGTATGGACCCGTCATGGTACGAGGTGGGCGGGGATTCTAAATCGCAGCTCTCGGGTTTGCATGGTGTTGGAACGTCTTCCTCGTGAATCAGATCCAAAGTCACGGTCCCGTCTGACAAAGACGCCTGGAAAAAAGGAGCCAGGACAACTTGGGGCAGACCCATATGGCGTACAGAACTGGAAGTAGTAAACAGAAAATGTCCGAATTTGTGACTGACCACAGCCAGCAGATGCCCTCGGCTCGGCAGGCGGCGACCATGACCGATCCTGGCTCGGTCTCGGGTCAGGTGACACAACTGAGTCTCGTCTGTGGTCACCTGCGGCGCAAACAACACATTTGGGTGTAACCTTCATTGCGTTCATTGAACACAATTTTGGGAAACAAAATTTGACTGTAATTTGTTTCCCTTGAGCCTGCTTTGTCTCAACACGGAACACATTCTGCTGCTGCAGCGTCGTAGAAGTAGCCCACACCCCACAATATACACACAGTGCAACGTCATATAGCATATCATCTTCTAGTATATGTTATATGTAATGTATATACTCTGTAATATATAATAATAATAATATATATAAAATTCTGAACATATCAAGTTTTTGCTGGGCTTCGTTCCTGCTTTTATTGTGAATGATCATGTTGGGCAAGATCGGTTTGATGTGTGCATTTGATTTCACGAAAGCCTGTCTGTGGATGCAGTAAAGGTCGAGTGCTTGTTTGGTGGCCGTTCCTTTGGGCCACGACAACCCACCATTACCTGATCCAGGATTTTGTTCTTGGCCCTCGTGATGGCGACGTTGAGCACGTTGATCCATGACTCTTTGTCCTCGGGACTCACTGCCAGGAACAGAACGCTCACCACCTAAAACAACAACACACTTGTACACACAAAATGGGATCCCAAAAACCAGCATGTGCGCATACGCGCGTCGGCGTCCATGCATACCGTGTTGTTTGCTGAGCAGCATCGTTGAAGCGTAAACTTGCTGTGATTCTTTTTGCTTCGACTTTTCTTTTTGTGGTTCTTGACGTCGTCGCAGCTGCCGAAGTGGCTCAAGTCCAAAACCTCGTCAGCGCCTGCGCGACCCTGCGGCTCATACAGCCAAACTCGGCTCACGCATTCCAACTTAACGTTCAAACCACTCACATGTCAATCATTTATTCTCACAAATTGTGTTGGGCATCAAATGTATTTATGTTTCTTTCACTTTCCAACAAGTTAGCATCGTTAGCATGCATGTTATAGTCCAACAAGCACACGCACCCACGCAGTCAGTGTTTCACAGGATTATCGTCATGGAAACAACATCCATTATTAACCCCCTTTCAGCTCGGTACAAGCCACCCCCCCCCCACCCCTCACACATGCACTGTGTGTGTGTGTTCAGTGAAATGTGACTCTTATTGAAAGTGGTTGACAGTTTCGACCTGACAAGTGTCTGTCTGTCCTGTCGTCCCACAACCAACATGTGATGTGCTGAGGTGACAAGTGTCGGTCATGATCAGCCCCCCCCGGACCAAATGCCGATCCACACACCTCTTTCTCACAGACCATCAGCTGTTGGTCTTTGAGGATGACGAAGCGGTTCTTCCAGATCTCCCGGAACAGTACTTTGCCGCAGAACCTTCGCAGCCAGCCCGCTTTGTCCACCTTGTCCGCTTGACAAGACAAAATGGACGCCATCTGCTGGAGAGCAATGGACATATTTGCACATTGTAAAGACTTCGGAGCAATAGGTAAATAGATACATCCATCCTTGTATTTTCCGATCTGCTTTATCCTCACAAGGGTCGCGGCGAGTGCTGGAGCCTATCCCAGCCGCCTTCGGGGAGTAGGCGGGAGACACCCTGAACCGGTCGCCAGCCAATCGCGGGGCACGCATAGTCGAACAACCATCTGCACTCACGCTCACACCTGGGGACAATTTAGAGTGTTCCATTAACCTGCCATGCATGTTTTGGGAAAGTGGGAGGAAACCGCAGTACCCAGAGAAAACCCACGCAGGCACGGGGAGAACATGCCAACTCCACACTGGGAGGCCGGAGCCGGAATCGAACCCTGCACTGTATGGGCCGACGTGCGAACCAGTCGACCGCTGGGCCGCCCATTCGGCATCGGTTGATTCATATTCGCGGATTTGATCATGAAATATTTTTTTCCTTTTTTTGTGTTTTTTTTCCGGGATTGTTTTCCTTCAATGCACATCCATGTAGGCTTGAATACATATTTTATGCGACAAAATAAATGCTTTTATTTTCGTGTTTACTGAAGTCACTTTTCTGCTTGGAAAAAGTTAGTCGCTTGTGCAACGGACATTATTTTATTTTGACATTTTGAAAAGCGGAAGCTGGTTTCAGGTCAGCCAGTAAATTCCTTGATTTCAAAATAAAGGCTACGAGGTAATCCTTTCTTCGTTCATCTTTTGTCGTTCTTTCTGTCCTTTGTCCTTCCTTTTGAACTTTTCTCTTTTATGAGGTGCGTGCATGCGTGAGCGTATATACTCACCGTGTGAGTGTCGCAGTGTTTGTTCTTCTTTATTGTTGTTGTTGTTGTTGTTGACTTTGTTGTGTCGCTGTTGGCGTCGGGCAATCCGGCGAGCATTGTGGCGGTCCAAGGCGGATCGAGGCGCCTCCTCTTGCGACCTGCAACGCCGCACACTTTGCCGATCCTCCGCCGGCCTTTGGTGTCATGTGAGCGGACAGAAGCCGCTGGAGCGCTCGGTGTCCGGTTGCTCTGATCACATCCCACAGACCTCCCCCTCACTCATCCTTATTGCCCCACCCCCGGCTTTCATCCCCTGCTGGCTAGCTCAGCGGCTCCTCGGCAGCCTCGCAGTGCCCTCTTCTGGCTAAGTCTGTGGTGAATGCCAGCTACCAAGCCAAGTTCAACTGCTTCCTTCAAGACTCTGATCGAAGCATATGACTACAGCCCCAGTAAAAAAATAAATAAATCACCACTTTTTTTTTCTTGAGGACGTAAAACAGGCTCAAACGTTCGTGCAGCAAAATGAAATCCGAAAAATTAGTTTGAAATAATTAACTGAGGAAATAATGCAAATGTGAAAGATTTGATATTTTTATTTAAAATAATATATTCAAGTAGACTGAAATGATTACTCCGTTGTTACGAGGGGATGATCCTGTCTCATGCAAGTGAGCTACTGCTCACCCCGCCCCTTACACTTCAGGTCCAATGGCAAGTAAGGTTTCATTGCCTCGACAATTAGGGCTGCACTGGACCAAGGGGTGGTTGTCCATATAGATTCAGTTTTCCCAGGTAGAGGCACATGCGCTTGTCAATTAGTGTGCAGACCGGTCGACGTCTTCATGGCTTATCAGAAGCTGTTAGCGAATGCTAACAGCAACTCAATGCGGTTCTTCTTACCTTTTGATTTTGGGAAGATGGTGATTCACACAACGTCATATGGCCAAGACTTGAAAACGGTTATGGATCTTCACCCAGCCAGGCTGCAAAGTCACGGGGAGAAGGACCCAGTGTGGGGGCAAGCTTTTGTAAATTAAGTGCGCCATCACATTTGGGCAAAATTGAAAACATTTTCATGAGTCGATTGAGTTTGACTGCTTTGTCTTCTGTCAGAACAAATTTCACATGACAGTTGTTCTTCAAATCTTTTTTTATTAGCTTCAGATGTTTTTCATGCCACATTTTTATCTTAATTTAGGATCTTATCTAATTAGGTTAATTTACAACCTTAATTTGAGTTCTAATCTTCATATATCGTATTTGAATGCAATTCGTGATACGGCATCGCTGCATGAGCAACGTGCCTGGCCAGGCTAGCTAGCTAGCTGGGTGGCTATATCCCAGGGAGCGAGGTCACACCATTCCAAAAGAGGGTCAGCTCAGCAAGTGTCTTTGATTCCGACCAGTAGCGCGCTCTCCCTCCACAGCCTGTCAGCCACCTCATCGTCCCGCCCCTCTGGTGCCGCCTCCTTCATGGCGCAGTCGCTGAACACAAAGCAACCAAAAGAAAATGGCGTTTTCACTGCTTCTTGAAGATCGGGAGCAAGCAACTTTCATTTGACTGATGACTCGACTTCATACTTGAGATACGAGTGACCCGACTCAGTTGACGGTTGGCGGCAATAACTGTTCAAAAAGTCTTTTAGCTTTTTCCCGCCATTCCCAACTGAAGTTTACTGTTACTTTTTTGGAACGGTTGTTGAGTTGTTGTCTAGTGAGTTGGACATTCTCATAGCATGTGCTATTTTCTCATGAAAAAAAACCCTGCAATTTTTGGGGAGGGTTGTTTTTGGGGAAGGCTGATGGGATTTCCATTCATTTCAGTGGGAAAGGATGATTTCAAAATTTACAGACACTGCTGGTTGTTTAGTTGGACTCGGCTCTTCGATCAATCATTTCAGCCTGAGCGTGAACTTATTGTCCGATATGGAAAAATGTAGATATGGCAAATTACTCTCAAATCACTATTGAAAAGCTGAAGAACAAATCGGAAAAGTCGAATGAGTGAGAATCGTTGAATCGCCACAAAGGAATTTTGGGTGGAGAAACAATCCAGGGCCAAAATCTCAAGATCGCTGTGTGAGTCGGTACTGATTCCGAACAACAGCTGAAGCATTAATGGACAGGCACATGCTCCTCCAACCGTACCTGAAGTAGCTTCCTGATTGTTCCTCAAGTCCCGGCGTGATGGCGCAGTACAAACTGGTTTGGCTGCCCTGGCGTGGCGTTTTCATGAGCAGCATGGCTGGTAGCCTCAGCAACACCCCCAACAGAGGGAACCAACCCTCCACGTGGCGGCCCAGCTCGGTCCGGATGACGCCGGGGTGCACGCAGAATGAGCTCACTCCCGAACCTGAGCGACAAATGCACGGCATCATCACAGGAGAGTGCACGCCGCACCGCGCCAGCTAATGTGGCACTAAGATGTCAAGTCTGGTGGGCGTGGGTACACCTTGGTTTTAGCCACTCTCAAATAACCCAGACCGATGATGAAGAACACTTGTATGTTAGCTCAACACCACGCCACTAAGTTGTTTTCAGTCTTTGCACATGTTTTCATGTATTCAGAAACAAATCACTGAAATCACTTGAAAGGGTCTTGAACTTAGCCTGATAGTCAGTGGCTCTTGGTTTCATTTAGCAGGTCTTAGCTTGTGACTTGCCATTCGCAGCTCCAAACTTAACTCGGCAATGGGTTCGTGGAATGGAAAGGTTGTGTCGGGAAAGGCATCCGGCATAGAAATTGTGCCAAACAAATCTTGCGGGTGACTCGCTATATTGGCAAACTTGCACAAGCTTGAGTTTGTGACAGTCGCAGGTTGTTCACTTCTAAAAATGTCTCTTGGTATCTGTTAGCTTTTGCTAGTTGTGAATAGCTGATATGTTCAACCCTCTTTGTGTTGTCATACCTAAATATTTGGGGGTGTGGAAAGCAAAAAGAAACTGGACGTGTGTGGGTATGTGGGTGTTTGTGTGTGTGCGTGTGTGTGTGTGACCTTGCAGGCGGCGTGCTAGCTCTCTGCTAAATAGCACATTAGCAAGCTTGCTCTGCCGGTAGCTCTGAAGCGGACTGTACGGACGAGAGCTGAAGAACAAATCGGAAAAGTCGATGTGCCCTGAACACAAACATTTGGAACAAAGAAATGCTCAAATGTCAGCTAAGAATCAGAGGAAACTAAGCGGTCAAAAGTCCCACCTCCCCTGTGGGCGATGGATGACACGGTTACCACGCGGCTGGGGGCGGAGCTCTTCAGCTTCGGGAGCAGCAGATTGGTCAGAAGAAAGTGAGATAAGTGATTGACAGCAAACTGAGTCTCAAAGCCGTCCTCCGTCAGCCATTTGGGACACATCATCACACCTGAACACACACACACGGTGAGACATTCGGACAGACAAAACAGGTAAACAGTGGGGCAGAAATCTTGGTGGACTGACAACAAGACAGGAATGGTGAGACAGACGGCCGTACCGGCGTTGTTGATGAGGATGTCCAGTCTGTCCTCGCTGTCCAGGAAATCTTTGGCAAACTGCCGGACCGAGTAGAGCGAGGCCAGGTCCAAGTGTCGGACCACCACGTTGCCATTGCCCGTGGACTTGCGGATGTCCTCTGCCGCCTGCTCGGCCCGAGACAGATCTCTGCATGCCATCACTACGCGGGCGCCTGACGGGACACATATCACCATTGCAAAGCACTAACACTGCAAGCCTTTGACTGCCCCCTTCATTCACTTTATGTGTGTGTTCAATGCACGTCATGTTTACACTGTGGTTGAGAGAGGAAAGTAATTTCATCTGTGCTGTATGTTACACATAGAGCATATTTGACAATAAAAGCTGACTTGACTTGTTCCTAATAAACCAAAATAGCTTGAGTTGTTTTTACACAGTGTTCATTCCATGAATTGCATAATCTTTTCTCTCATATATTTTCTACTCCCAACAGCCACACATAGTCTATTAACAGGATATGGTACATAATGCATGCGGTGTTGGAGTGTAAACTGCTTAAACTATTCCATCTATCTCCCTCATAATCGATGAGACAAGCTGAGATTCACTGCCTAATCTTTATCTTCTCCTCAAAAGCTCTGCTATTCGCCTATGCCATCTACTGGTGTTTTATCGTCATTGCAGTTATAAGCGGAAGCTTGGATTTTTCCTCTTCCACATCTACCATTGGAAAGATACGCGACAGGGACCATAAATGTGACTGGTTGATGAGAATCAAGTGTGAGTGAAGGGGTGTGGCCTAGTGACTGACATGAGGAGCTTCAGTCTCACTCGGACCGATCGTCTGCATCGGAGCGTCGAAGCGAGAGTTGTGGTCTACGGCAGCTCCTTGCGAGTATTCTCATTTTGTGTTTGACTTCTTTGTCCTGTTCAATCAATGACGACTGCAGCTCTTCTTGCCCACACATACAAGGGCATCACACTACTTTCATGACTCCATGTTTTTTTCACTTAACTCGAACAAGACAAAGCAAAAACTCGCCCAAGTGATGGCCGGTAACTCAAACAACGCGTAAATCAAGGTACCGCTGTATACGTTGCAGAACCTCAAGTATTCATCTGTACAACAGGAAGTAATAATCCGTTTAACGGCAAGTACACCGCAGTATTAAATGCGGCAAGAGGAAGTAATCGTCTGCTTAATCGGCTTACACAGCTTTGTTGGGCCTCACCACAAACTCTGACCTGTGATGTCATGATGCTCCAAGCGCACGCGCGTGGGTAGATCCACTTGACATCACAGTGATGATGTCATCTCAAAGTGCCAACTTCCTGCGAGATCCTTCCCAAGATGGCTGTCCTCCCCACCCGCTCACCTCGCCTCGCCAACTCTCTGCATGTCTCCTTGCCGATGCCCGTATTGGCGCCCGTCACCAGCACCGTCTTCCCATCCTGGCGCTCACCACTGCGGCAAACGCCGCCGCCAATCCACCTGCGCAACGCTGCCACACCTGCGCGCACACACACACACACACACACACACACACACACACACACACACACACACACACACACACACACACACACACAAACAGATTTTTGATAAAATGAGCCGAGGTTATTGGTAACATGCAGCTGATGCTGTTCTCACAGATAACCAGGACTGCTCCGAGCAGGGCGCCTCCCCGTAGCAGCATAACTCCCTGTCCCTCCGAAACCTCGACCTCAGCCTCAGCCTCTGACCCAACACCAGGCCATGGCAGGACCAGAAAACCAGACCCATCTGGCATTGTGTGCGTAGACACACTGCTCTGCTCCAAAGAGTGTTCCAGTCCACAGAGTTCTCTGGTCCA